GCGCCTTGCCTTACTCACCCCTATTGCTGGAACATAAACAACTGTTAGAGGCAAAGAACTCCCCGAAGCTGGCACTGCCGAGGAAAGACGCTTGCTAAATCCCGCCTTCTTGACCCCCCCCCCCCGCCCCAACTCTGCTTCTTGAGAATGGTCTGGAGCCAGGACACTGGCACACACGGAGGCCAGACCAAAGTCCACTTTGAGTCTTGTACTTTATTTCCGGAGCACGTCTGGGAGTGTATGGTTTCCCCGAGCTCTTTCTGGGCCTCCCCCCCCCCTTATATGCATCTGCCCTCCCCCTAGTGAGTTTTATCCCTGGGGTGGGGGGGACAGGTGCGACCCTGATCCCGGCCCGCAGGCATGCTACTCCAGCAGCTGGAGGCCGGCACCGCGAAGGTAGACGCGCAGTCCTGAGCTGGAGAAGGTACTCAACTTTAATGACAAGGGTTTTAAACAAACAAACTTTTATTGCTCTTTGCCGGCCCACTGTTTGAAGTCTGTGAAGCAGAAAATGTTTAAATTCTTAGCTCAATCGACCTACAGCAGAGAAGCAAGTTCAGTGCACCCGGACTGGCTTAGGTTTGCATCTATTCAGGTCAGAATTCGGTCCTGGTTCATAACCCCTTGGGTTAAAAAAAAAAAAAAAAAATCTACAGAGCCTCTCGCCTGCTCCAGCGTTTCCCTCAAACCCGCCTTCTAAGTAATGAAAAGAGGGGAGAGGGAGAGAGAGAAAGAGAAAGGGGGAAAAAAAAGCCAACAAAATGTTTTTCAAATGGCAATAGACTTCACCACAAATTATTCATGAAGACAGTTCTCGATTCAACAGGAAAATAATTGCCTTTTCAAATATTAATGGCGTTTCATTTCCTCGAGTCGTGGAAGCGGCGAGCAGGAGCAGATTTCTCAAGAGTTGAGGTTCTCCCGGATCTGAATTCCGGGCCTGGCTGCGGAGGCGGCTGCCGCTCCCAAAGCTTTCACTTTGCAGTGGTCCCAGCGATCCCGAACAATGGTGCCGCGGCGACGGAGGCGCGCGCCCAACGCGCGTTCGGCCCTGACCCCGTCGCCTGGCTCCCCTCCCGGGACCCCTCGGCTGGGAGCTCGCCCCACTTTCCCCGGCGGCCGGTAGAGAGTCAGGGCTGGGGATCCGCGGTAGAGGTGAAGGTACCTCGCCGGGGCGGAGTCGCCTGGACAACCAGACCCAGCCACAAGTGCGAGAAAATGGCGCTGGCCAGGCTGCCCAGACGCTTCCGAACTTTGTCGGGCGGGCCTGGCGCGGGGCCGGGAGGAGGCCTTTCGGGCTCCCGAGCTTCTGGGAGGAGACTCCAGGCCTTTCACAGCGCAGCCCGGGGCCCAGGCCGCTCCGGGTGGGCTGCAGGGCCCTGGAACAGCCCTGCCTCTCCAAACTCACCCACCCACCCGAGCGCAGCGCCGGGACCTGAGGGGAGGGGAAGGGCGGGAGGCAGTGTGCTGGCAGGGGGCGGGGGACGTGGCAAGCGAGGGACCAGGGCGCCTCTTGCAGCTCCGGAGAGCGCGGGGCTCGGCTCACCTGGCCTCCCGGGGCCTGCGAACTTCGCGGCTTCCCGTGTCACCTCAGTGCCCTGTTTTTTCCCTCCTCTGCTCCTCGTTTGGAGCGAAATCATTGTTTCTGTTTAACGTGAATGCGCAACTAGACGCTCAAAAGATGGGATAAGTGTGTGGTGAGGATTTTTTTCCGGCTGGGGTGGAGGATCAATCTTAAATCCAACTCCTCCTCTGTTTTATTTTGCAGGCCCCTAATTGCATGACTTTTGTAAGTCGTTTTAGAAAGAAAAGAAGAAAGGAAGGGAAATAGGAAAGTTTTGGTTTTGCAGATGCTGGCAGAGATCAGAGGGGAGAAAGGGGGTGAATAGGAACAATGATTTATTCTGCGTCTTTCTTCTACTTTTTCATAAAATGGTGCTGGTGTCCCGAGAAATTGCATATGCCAGTATCTTCCATAGGACTCAGTGTACTCTAGCAATATTCCTGCAGGGGGAGAACCCAGCCACCGGCGGTGCCGGAGCCCCGAGCTCATGGCCTCCTGCCCGAGTGGAGGCGCCGGTTGTGAGCAAACCTCTGGCTCAGCCAGAGTCTCAACAGGATTCGGGAATAGCGGCTTTGTTTGCTCAAACCTCCCTCAAAGCGCCTGTCTTTCCTGGAAGCGGAGAGAGACGAGAGCACAAAGGCCACAGTCCACCAGCCGTGCGTCTCTTCCTCCCTAGCCAGGAGCTAGGTAGCCGTTGCCTTCATTTAGAGCGCGGGCGGCAGCCGCTTTTTTAAAGTGCCCGGACACCCTCTTCCCCTCTTCCCGCAGCATTTGCAGCTCAGGCAGGAAACTGGGCTTCCGGATTCTCCAGGTCCTTTCCTCCCCCACACGCCAGCGAGTCCAGGCGGCAGTCAGCTCCCCGACTGGGGCTCAGGCCGACCAATATTTCCACCCTAACGAGCGCTCGAGCCTTCCCTTGGCTCCACAGGGCATCGCAGCCGTCGCTCCGAGCCGCTCGCGGGCCGACCACGGCCGCCCGCCTGCCCTCCGGTCCGCAGAGCCGGCCTGACTTGGCCTCCGCAGCTGCTTCTATCCCGAAGCCGTGGCGCTCGAGCGCTCGATTGCTGGAGAGACCTCGGATCTCGCTCAGCTTGAGCTGGCCCTGCCGCGCCGGCCCCTCGGCTCGGGCTCGTGAGGCCGGACAGCAGTGTGGGGGTGGTCTGGGGAGGCAGGGCGACCTGGCACAGTCAGTGCGGACTGCGAGGGCCAGCTGCCCACGGCAGGGTCTCTGCGAGGCCGCTGGAGCCGCGTAATAAAACGTTATTGCCGGCGCACTGATCTGGAGGGATCCCGAACGGTTTAGGCAAGATTTGAAGAATGCTGCTAAATGTCTGCCCTCAGGGGGTAGAAGGGAAGGGGGTGGGGGCTTCGTTTCCCGTAAAAATCGCCTCTGAAGTGAATCATTCCTCAGAATACCTTTCCCTGCAGCACGAATCCACATTATGCACACCCCGTGTGCAAAGGCTGCGCATTCTTTAATCATTTCATCGTCTTGGCGTTTGCACAAAACCTACTTTAGGAAACGATTTGGGCCAGGATGGGGCGTGTGCTGGGTGGACCTCTTGGCGGCGGCGGTGGGGTGGGGGTGGGGGGCGAGCAGAGACGTTTGGCTGGAACAGCAACTTTAAATCGAGCAGATGTGAGCTGCTCAGTCAGCTCTATTCTCCGGGCGGAAGTGCTTCTGGCTCCGCGTGGAGAAAATTTGGAAGAAAAAAAACCCGAGTGAATCGGGATTTTCGAGGACGGAAAGTCGACTAAGATGGAGTCGTTGTCGCTCCTCCTCCGTGTCCTCCTCCCAGGCCCGGGCGGGAGGGGGAGGGGCGGGGGCGCGCCCGAGTAAGCGCCGGGGACGCGCTCTCCGCGGGGGAGGGGGTGTCGGGCCTCAGGCGCCGAGAATAGGGATTTCTGAAAATCTTTTGTGGTTCTTTTCCAGAAAATGGAAGAGGAATGGGGGGATGGTGACGAGTGAAAGCCGGGCAGACGGCCCACGGTCACTAATGTCTCTGCGTTGCCTCCGCCAGGCGAGAAGCCCTTCAGGTGCGAGTTCGAGGGCTGTGAGCGGCGCTTCGCCAACAGCAGCGACCGCAAGAAGCATTCGCACGTGCACACTAGCGACAAGCCATACACGTGCAAGGTGCGCGGCTGCGACAAGTGCTATACACACCCCAGCTCGCTGCGTAAGCACATGAAGGTGCACGGGCGCTCGCCGCCGCCGCCCAGCTCCGGCTACGACTCGGCCACGCCGTCTGCCCTCGTGTCGCCCTCGTCGGACTGTGGCCATGAGCCCCTGGTGGACTCCTCGGCGGTGGTGGCGGCGCGTGGCGCCGACCTGAGCGAATGGTACGTGTGTCAGGGCGCGGGCCCCGCTGCGGCTGCCCCCGCCGCGACCCCCAGCCCGGCGCCACCACTTGGCCCCGCCG